AAAGAGAGAGAGAGAGAGAGAGAGAGAGAGAGAGAGAGAGAGAGAGAGAGAGAGAGAGAGTGCAAGCAAAGAGAGAGTGCAAGCAAAGAGAGAGTGCAAGCAAAGAGAGAGAGAGAGAGAGAGAGAGAGAGAGAGAGAGAGAGAGAGAGAGAGAGAGAGAGAGAGAGAGAAAACAAGCAAAGAGTTCTTTCACATTATTCAGAAATACCCCTGTCGATACTCCGAAATCCTCCTCCCCTTAATTAGCAAGGATTCCCTCGCCAAGAAAGAGGTAGACGTAGAACTCACAAGTGAGCAACAGCAGCCCCAATGATATATGCTGCAGCTTCAAATTCAGGTCCGTGTTTTCAGAAGTTATGGGTTGCTAACTTACTAACTCAGCTCGTAATTTCCAGGGCTTCACTCCACTACTCACCAAATGTGCAAAACTAGAATGAATCTTCTGCTAGAACACGGAACCATACGCCGCCATAAGTTGTCTTTTGTGCAAGTCGTGACACGTGGAGTGAGGCCCTTAGGGCCACTGCACATAAGAAAAGGAAAAACAAAAAAAAAAGAGCGCTACCGTAGTATTAGTAGAGATCCATAACTCCTGGAACACAGACCTGAATTCGAATACAGGATATATATTGACAGCCTGCTCGTGTCCTAACAGCAATTTAATGAACGTCTCTCAGCGATCTACACCTCGGTGTTCGAGAGAGCGCTCATCCTAAACGCATCCATCTTCTCAATGATGTGGTACGCAGGGACAATCTGGAGTCCCCCAGCTCAAACGACAGCAACACTACGAAGAAAAGCTTCAGCGTACCTGTCGACCTCGGATCCCAACAAGTCTAACTTCATTACTGAAGTGGCATGGAAACATGTTACGAAGCCATAGGAACAAGGAGGCCTACCGTTTCACCCGAATAGAACGCCCGGTCATTATAACTGTATTTGGCACAACTTTCGGTCCAGATGCAGCGATAATGACCGGGCGTTCTATTCGGGTGAAGACGGTAGGCATAATAGATCCGGACGAGCAGCTCAAAGCCCTGCAAACAAAATGGGTAGTCAAACTCATCACCCATCAAAAGCTGCCGTGGGTGTCACTTGCCCTCGACAGAATCAGACAAATGGCGAAGTACACTACACCAGCCAACATGTCAGAGCTCTTCTGGTTAATGGGCAGCAACTGGGCCAAAGTAGGGAAAGGCCTAAGTAATGAGGGTGGAACCAGGACGGACCCCTACTGGCAGCAACTGCTGAAATTATGGGAGGAATTTTTCCCCGCCAGGGTCAGAGAGCCACGTACTCGAGAGGAGGTTCTCCACCAGCCCCTATTCTGTAACCCAGCTATAAAGGACACACAGGGCAAGCCCCTCACACTCACACAAAAGGATGCAAAATGGGGCATGTGCTTAGAACACGGAGTCTGGCAGATCAAACATCTTTGGGCAAAGGATAAGCAGCAATGGAAGACGGCCAGGGATCTCAGAACAGAATTGAAAGGATGCCACAGACCAACCAAGAATCTCAACGACATCCTCATATCCATACCACAGGAGTGGACAGCTATGTTGAAAAAGAATGCTCAATGGGGACTAGGCGGCTCGGTTACATGGAAACAAGAAGGGGAACCTACCGAAGCATTCCGCATCTGGAGTCAAGAACCAGCAAGGAAGGAGTGGTTGAACGCAGACATGTACAACATTATGAACCCAGGAAGTACTACCAGCCTACTGGACCAGGGCTCCACGACCCCGGTCACCATCCAAGCGCAACAAGCACAAAAAGTAAGTAGTGGAGACGGAGGACTTCACGATATTTAGCCCAACTACTCCAATAGAAGATCTAGAAATTGACCCAGTGGAATGGGCGTGGGATCTCAGAGGAGGGAGGTTGATAATTTCCAGAAAAATCAGCATAGTAGACTACACAACACGGATTGGCTATCGACTAAGAAGGCATCACCACCCTCTGCAGACCATACTCACGAAGCGGTGGGAAAACAGAGTGGGAGTCTCCCCAGAGCAATTACCAACAATACCATGGACAACGATCAATAGGATAAGACTTGGCTGGGTCAGAAGCTTGCAGTGGCTAATTGCCCACTTCGCTCTGCCGGTAAACACTTGGCTAAACGAAAAAAGAAGTCGAGCGCAAGAAGGGACCCCTCCAACACCTTGTGTTCAGTTTGCCAGCAGGGTTCGGTGGAAACAATGGAACACGGCCTGCTGACGTGCCCAAAGGCAGAGGGCCTATGGGAAATAGCCAGAATCCTCTGGAAGCAGATGATGCAGAAGCCATTTCCGCAAGAAAAAGAGACCCTGCTGCTGGGACACAACTGCCCCATAGACTGGCCAGCCTTCGAGAAGCAGCTATTTCAGCTCATGAGACAGTACACAGTATAGACAATTTGGAAAAGACGCTGCCAGATCACAATAGGGAAGAGGCCGATGCACGAACAGGAAGCAAGGGAGGTCCTCCTAAACTTACTGGAAACGGAGGTTTGGGCACAGTGGAAAAGAACACAGCGGCAGATGAGACAGCAACCGGACCAAGCACAGGATCTGAAAGACAGATTCGACCGTAGAATCCTCGGGAATGGTAAAGTAGCAACTATCCGGGCCACAGGCATCGTATTTTCGTGGAGACAGAGAGGATGAGAAGGCCGAAGCAAAGGGTACTTGCCAGTGTGTCGGTGCATAAGCTTTTCTTGCCTTCAAGTAGGATGGACACGTGGCATGTTTCTATGATTTCAGATTGTTCATAGGGACGCTGGACCCGTTTTCCGGAAGGTGTTGCTCCCCACCAATAGATGGAGCCTCCCCGGGCATGCTAGAGGCGTCTGCTCTTATCAGCACCCCTAGCATCTACCCGGGCTGTTTCTTGTTAAAAAAAAAAAAAAAAAAAAAAGGTTTAGGGTTTAAGGCGAGGATTGGGAGGAAAGAATGAGGGAAAGGAGAAGTTAGACAGAGGAGGGCAGAGAAAGACTTAGGGCTTAGTGGCTACTCAAAGGGTAAACGGAGAGTAAGATAGAACTTTTCTTCCTCTATTGCTAGTTGGCTGTTCTTAACCCAGTTTCATTTTATTTCAGGAATAGCACGTGAACAGATAGAAGGCAGGAGCGCAGGAACCACCCTGCAATACGAGCCTAATCTGGGTAATGGCCCGTCTTCCGGGTTGAGATGTGGAGGGATTCCCAGCCTCCTTTTGCTCTTTATATAATGAAAAATGCTATTTGTTAAAATAAAAAAAAGGAAGAGAAATGGGACCCTTACTAGTTCTCTTTTGGGGGCCCTTTGGAAAAGAGATTGGATCCAATGAGCAGTATGATGTGGCCCCAAATTCTCTCTTTTCGTGCTCTTGCAATTTTTAAAGAGAGGGTTACGTTCGGCTACCACTGCCTGCCCTTTCCGCTTTTTTTTTTCTTTTTCCGCACTTGCGCCGCAGCACGTGCGCGCGCATGTGTGCGCGTGCGCAACTCGCGCGCATGTGATGTGCCGCATGTATGGTATATACCATCGTTATCCAGACGTCTGGACCGCATTGCAGACGGTCTGGGTCTGGAGGTCCGGTCCAGAGTGTCCGGAACCATCCCCCCACCCCCACCCCCAAGAAAAATTCGACTGCAAAAAAAACAAAAAAATCTGGAAAAAAAAAGATATGTTATGCAGCATTGCAATACAAAAATCTTTTGGCTGAGGACCATCTCGAAATTTGTAGCCAAATCCGAGCAAAAGAACAAAAATGTTTTTTTTTTTTTTTTTAAACAGGGTTTTCCAATCCGGACGGTCTGGAGCAGTCCAGACACAGGTCTGGTCCGACATCTGGACTGGTCCCGTGTCCGGGTCCGGCGTAACCATGATATATAATATACACTAACACTACGACTCTCCGAGACGCATCTGAAGGCAACGAAGGGCAGAAATAGCTGAGAAAGTGCATTGTGTTCTCCCGAACACAATGCACCCTGATTATGTATGTATACAAAAGCTAGTTTTCCGGTCCCATACAGCCAAAATGAGGGTGCGTTCTATTCGGGGGAAGAAGTTAGTGTGAGTATCAAGCGAGACTATGAATGTATACAAGCTAGCTTTCCGGTCTCATACAGCCAAAATGAGGGCGTGTTCTGTTCGAGGGAAGACGGTAATGTGAGTATGAATGTAGACAAGCTAGCTTTCCGGTCTCATACAGCCAAAATGAGGGTGTGTTCCATTCGGGGAAAGTCAGTAGTCTGAGTATTGAAGTTAATTGAACTGATGATACTGATTGAATATTTTTTTATTGAATTTGATTGAATTTGGTTGAACTTTGATTGAATTGATTGAATTGATTGAATTGATTGAATTGATTGAATTGATTGAGAGGAGGGAAGGAAAAAGAATAACAAGCATGAGTAAGCCAGCCAGCTATCTGTTACATGCTGAGCCTGCACACGGGCCCCATTTTGGGGGCCTGGCGGTTGCTGGCAGCCCCCAGGCCGCACGCCCCTCAGACGTGCGCCCTGGAGGCCCACGGCCGGCCTTAGGGCCGCAGGTTTCGATTTGAGGCAGCATTCATTTATTTATTTATTTATTTATTTATTTATTTGCTGTCCTATTTTTGTCTGTTCAGGCGTCGTTTCAGACTTGCAGTTCGTCCGAACAGACTTTCGGTGTGTTCGGACAAGGCCATGTTTTTGGCCTGGTGCAGATGTAGGCAGGCCCTGCTGGGCCGTCTTCCCCCGAACACAACGCACCCTCATTATGAGTGTGCACAAGCTAGATTTCTGGTCCGGTACAGTCAAGTTGGGGGTGCGTTATGTTCGGGGGAAGGCGGTAGGGATGCAGGACCCGATTTCCAGCAAGTGCCACTCTCCACCAATAGGATCGACCCATCAGCTGTTTGGGGCCTGCTAATGGGCGCTGCTCCTATCAACCCTGTTATCAGGCTCCCCTCACCTGCGATGTTCTTTCTTTTTTGTTTTACAAACACACACACACACACACACACACACACACACACACACACACACACACACACTCACCAAAGGAAGCTGAAACGACTTTGGGTCATCCTCCACAAGAGGGAGCACCTGCACATGGATGGAAAACATCAATGAGTATAGGACTCGAGCAACACAACCGTCAACATGCCAACAGGTTTGAGTAAAATCTTTCTCACAAGTTCTGATCACCTTTATGAACTGAACCCACAATAGAACATACATACATTAGTTCCACAGCTCCTATTCACACTTGCAAAGGTCCTATTCTCAATAGCACAGAATCCACAGATCCTATTCTCAATAGCACAGAATCCACAGATCCTATTCTCAATACCACAGAATCCACAGATCCTANCACAGAATCCACAGATCCTATTCTCAATAGCACAGAATCCACAGATCCTATTCTCAATAGCATAGAATCCACAGATCCTATTCTCAATAGCACAGCTCCTATTCTCACCAGTTGTACTCACCTTTAGGAACCACAGCTTCTATTCTCAATAGCACAGATACTATTCTCAATAGCACAGCTCCTATTCTCACACGTTGTACTAACCTTTACAAACCACAGCTCCAATTCTGAATAGCACAGCTCCTTTTCTCAAGGGCACACCTCCCATTCTCACAAATTGTAATCAACTTTACGACCCAAACCCATAGAGGAGAAATAGAAAATAAGAAAACAGCTCCTATATCAATAGCACAGCAAGGTATTCAGAAACAAAAAAAAAAAAGAAAACAGCTCTTAAATTTTTGACTGTAGTAGGTCGGCGGGGAAAACTGGGAGTAACTCTTTCGGCTAAGTCAGTAAGGTATTCAGAAAACGTGGGAGCACGTTCCGGGTGAGTCTCAGAGCTGTGAAAAACCCTCAATACTGCTGGAGATTTACACAGGGGGGGGGGGTTCAAAAAATCCTAACGTAGCGACGACCCCAGACCGAATGCATTCCTCGCCGAATCCTCGGAGCTTTTTTCACTTTTTATATTTTATTTTTTTTATCCATAATGAATTGGCGGGAAGTAAAACTGAAAGGGACTATTTGATTTTTTCAACTGTAGTAGACCCGCAGGGAGAACTGCGAATAACTCTTTCAGCTAAGTCAGTAAGGTACTCGGGAAACGTGGGAACACATTCTGGGTAAAATCTCAGAGCTGTGAAAAACTCTCGATACTGCTGCGTATTTTTTTACACAGGGGGCCTTTTCGAAAAATCCTGAAGTAGCAACGACGCCAGACCGAATGCATTCCTCGGGAGCTTTTTTTCACCTTTTCAGACGAAATCGCGGATAACATTGCTCTGCGAGAGAACTGGAGAAAGCTGGAACGTCCCTTAGGACTTCACGCAGTGATTTTCCTTCTGAGAAAAGCAACAAGTATTTATCAGCACTGTAGAATTCCCATTCACCTCGGAGTTGAGTTTTTCCCTCCTGATGAGGCTGCATTTCTGGTCTGGCTCCGGCTGAAACCGGTAGAGGGATGCCAGACTTGAGCGCCTCCCATAGCCTCCTAGGCTATGGTTGCTTCACTGTTGCTTCTACTTGACTATTATTTGAAGAGCCTTTTTTTCAATTCCGAGTTTTTTTAACTTTTTTCCACATATCTGGTTTGTTGCTACTTTGCAGCATGCTGCTTGTGTGACGCTTACGGCTGATTTTAGCATATGTTGACGTCGGCTTCTCGCTTTCCCTTCCAACTTCCAAATAGCACAGCATGTAGTCTATTCTATTCGCTTCAATGAACTTACATCTCCTATTGCTTTCAACTACTTTTTTTTTACCTATTTAAAGAAGTTCAGATCAGAAAATCTGGCATGCCTTTTTATTTTCATTTTCTCAGCACTCCCAACAATCTATTGGTGGGGACGCGAACCTGCTGAAGACCGTGCCCAGTGTCCACCATACCACAAGAAATAGCATAGAAAGGCAGAATCAGAATATGTGAGGTCGTTCTATTAAACCTATTTGGCATTTTGCTATTCAACGTGCTAAGTTCAAAACAAATTTTAGATATACAAAAGAAAAGAATGCACCCTCCATTGCCTCCAAGGCTCCAACCCTCTTTTCTCACCAGAAATAGGAAGATTGTTGATCGGAGGACTGACACTCGGACGAAATCACAGGGACTGGCAGGAACTCAGAGGTATTTAAGTGATTCTGAGGTACTTACGGAATTCGGAGACAATCAGAAGAAATCACAGAGACTGACGGAACTCGGAGGTACTTAAATGATTCAGAGGGACTCCGACTCGAAGCAGCTATGTGGCTCAGACGGGCCTTAACAAAGAGACTCAAGGTGACTCAAGGCGACTCAAGGGAACTCAAAGGCGCTCAAAAAGGAACTCAAAAGGATACAGAGAGACTCAAAAGGACTCAAAGGGACTCAAGACTCGAAGGGACTCAAAGGGGCTAGAAGGGGCTCAAAGGGGCTCAAAGGAACCCAAACGGACGCAAAGGGCAAAGGGACTCAAAAGAACTCAGAGGGACTCAAATGGAATCAATGTGGGGGCTCAAAGGGACAGCCTCAAAGGGATTCAGAGGAACTCGAAGGGACTTCAAGGGACTCAAAAGGACTCAAAGGGACTCAAAGGGACTCAAAGGGACTCAAAGGGACTCAAAGCAAATAAAAGGGACTCCAAGGGGCTCAAGGAACTCGAAATGACTCAAAAGGAACTCAAAGTGACTCAAAGGGAATCAAAGGGAATCAAAGACACTCACGCTTATGTGTCTGTTACCTTACGGCCTTGATCCATGCTAACGTAGCCCATCTTCGGCTGCTGTGAGTAGCCCAGGTGTGAAGCCTGCATGCCATTGAACACAAAGCAGGACATCAGCCTGATGGAATGGATGGTGCCCTAGAAAAAAAAACACTTTCATGAACTTTGGGCCTGACCCATTCACCACATCTGCCGAGGTAAGGTCGCTGTACATGCCAGGGAGGCATAGTAGAACTTCCTTTCTATCCCCCCTCAGGGCAAGGCACCATTTCAGAAACAGCAAACCCATATTGAAAACAACTGCAGCAGGAATAAAAGAGACCACAAACCCAAGGGGGGGCGGAGGGGGGGAGGGGGGGTGAAGTGGAGAGGAGAGGGAATCAAAAGCCAAAACTATACGATGCACAGTAAGATGTTCTCTTTCCTATTCTCGAGTCACAAAAGCAAGCAAGGAAACCAAGAAAGAAAAGTGTCTGAAAAACCCTCAAGCTTACAGCCAAACTTGGAATCCTGACTACTGGATCAATCCGAGGAGCAGAAGAAGAAGAAGAAGAAGAAGAAGAAGAAGAAGAAGAAGAAGAAGAGGAGGAGGAGGAGGAGGAAGAAGAAGAAGAAGAAGAAGAAGAAGAAGAAGAAGAAGAAGAAGAAGAAGAAGAAGAAGAAGAAGAAAGAACAAGAACAAGAACAAGAACAAGAAGAAAGAAGAAGACGAAGAAGAAGAAGAA